TAAAAATTTAAAATAACATTATAACAAGAAAACATTTTTTTTACACTTTTTTTATGCTTAGGCATCCCCTTGACCAAAACTTGACTTCCATACTTTACGGTTTTTAGAACACCGTTTTATAGTAATAGCGAGGCTTTTTAGATACTCCTTTCGTCTTTAATAGTTGATGAAAATCCTCCGAAGCCAGAAAGAAAAAAATTGAGCTTGGCTCAATTATTCATTTTTACTATCAAATCCTTAGATGTTGATACCAACCCTTGCACTAGTTGAGGAAAAAAAGTTCCTTAGAATGATCTTCGATGAATTAACGAGACATAGTAGACGACCTTCCTTAATCATAAGCAAACTATCATTTCTCCACTTTTCTCGGAACTTATGCCATAGCCGAGGTGGATTCAAACCACCTAACAATACAATGATTTTTTTATTATTGATTTTAACATGAGAGAGTGTTTTTCACTTGATTTAGCCCCTGTTTGGTGGTGATTAAAATAATATTTTTAATAAATTTTGATAAAAAATAATAAAATGTATGGTTGAAAATTGTGGATTTCTTGAAATGTGTAATTAAAGTTAATTGTTGACTTAGACTTAGATATCTTAATTTTAATTCTTACCAAACAAGGGCTTAATGTTTATTTTGGACGAAAACTATCAAAAATGACCAATTTGCTAAGAAAATTGAAGGTTAGAAATTGAAATGTCTAAAAAGAGGTTGATGAATCAAGTGTTACAAGTTGAGGGACTTTGGTTGTCATTTTTTGTTTCATATTTTATTATCAATACTTCAAAAAGAATCTCCTTACTCTATTTTATACCGTTGACCTCGTTCATTCTTGAAGATTGAAAACCCACCTCATATTATCACCTATGCCTTTCTATCGGAGTTCCCATTTGACAATCATTATTTAGAAAAAAAATATTTTGAATAGTGATTTTTAGGAGAATGCGTGATTAAAAAGCAGAAAAAAAGCTTGAGGTTACGTGCAAAATATTTTATTCTGTTAACGTGTGGTTAAAAATGAAAAAAAATTCAAATAATAATCCAAACAAGGGCAGCTTTGCATAATAGTATAAATTTTAAACTATTCAAATTTTTTTGAGATCATTGATATAAAGTAATCAAAGAAAAAATCTTCAACAACATTCAATATAATTGATCTTAGGTAATCTAATGTAAAAATTTGTGCAAGAAAATGTACCCATCATTTATTCTCCCGAGCAAGACGACTAATACCAAAACAAATTAAGAACAACTAACACTATTAATTAGTGACAATCCAACAACTCCCACCATCTTAAATTCTTGATAATGAACTCCAAACTTAGGATACTTGAACTTGCCCAAATTAGTTTCTTTTCAAGGGATCTGTCCCACCTATCACCTGATATATGTATATATATGTGCGTGTGTGACCCTCAATCCATATTAGGAATATGACTCTATCCAATATGTGTAAAAGTGGGACCCAAAAAACCCTATGCATCCTCCTTGTTCATGCATATGCTCCAAGAGACAGGCAAAAACTTAGTCAAAAGAAAACCAAATGAGAGAGATTTGAGAGAAAAGAAGAGAAGTGACCTTAAAGGTTCATAAACTCTTATCATTTCAAGAATTTTGAGAACCCACAATGCCCATCTTCTTTAGGGCAAACTATGGCCCATTCAAGCTGTCCTCTCATGGTTCAATGCATCTGCTCAATCCACTTATTTGTATTAAGAAATAAAATTATAATTTTACGGAAAATAATATTATCGTTTCAAATTCGTCCTTGTTCTTTAAAAAGGAACAAGTGAGTTATTAACCTTTCATTTTACTTGCACAATAAGTCCCTGAATAAAAAGAATCCAAATCTCCATAAAATCTTTCAAGTGAAGCCATCAAATCCCATTCTTCTACTTGTTCTCATTTTCATTTTCATTCATCTACTCATTTTAACCACCCATTCTTTAATAAAATAATATTTTTCATCACATCAATAACTTTTTCATCTTTTTCAACCACATATTCATCATCACATCACAAAAAAAAAATGCATTCTTTCCATTTTAATGTGCATCAAACATACTCGTGATACGTTTCTCAACTTGGGTCGGTACTAAGAAAATTGAAGCGAGACATGTTTCCTGCAGTGTATATGACAATTTAGAGCTTGTTTGGGAATGATTAAAATCTAATTAAAATTGAAAATATAACTGTTGGGTCTCACTCGTTTAATAAAAGTCAACTCCAACGGCTATATTTTCAATTTTAATCTGATTTTAATCCCTCCCAAACAAGCTCTTAACAAAGGTCTGGACGATTTTCATTTTTAGGGACTTATTACACAACTATAAATGAAATGTTGAAACAATAAGCTGGGGGATTTTTATAAATTTTATAATGTAAATAATCTTGGTTTCGCATTCTTCTACTCATTTTCAACTACACATCCTTCAATAAAATAATATTTTCCATCACATTAATAATTTTTCCTTCGTTTTCAACCACATATTCACCATCACATCACAAAAAAAAATGCATTCTTCCCATTTTAATGTGCATCAAACATACTCGTGATACATTTCTCAACTTGGGTCGGTATTAAGAAAATTGAAGCGAGACATGTTTCCTGCAATGTATATGACAATTTAGAGCTTGTTTGAGAATAATTAAAATCCAATTAAAATTGAAAATATAACTGTTGGGTCTTACTCGTTTAATAAAGGTCAACTCCAACGGCTATATTTTCAATTTTAATCTGATTTTAATCCCTCCCAAACAAGCTCTTAACAAAGGTTCGGACGATTTTCATTTTTAGGGACTTATTACACAACTATAAATGAAATGTTGAAACAATAAGTTGGGGTTTTTTTTATAAATTTTTATAATGTAAATAATCTTGGAGTTTGATTGGGACGTCTATCTCAATCATTTACTTGATGAATTGGCAACATCCATGAGATTTAGAGTTTGCATTATTTTGTAGGTTCCACTTGCCTTTGTCGACATGGATTTGTCAAGTGCTTCTTGTTATTGAAACTTGTTGTCTGAAATTCTAAGTGCCACCACCTTTGGTCTTATATGGTCATGTTTCAAAATTTCGAATCTTAATGGGGGTTGGGTGTCTAATCATCCCATCAACTAAACTTTTTAAATTATTTTTACGGCTCAAAAATTATTCCTTGAAATCATTTGAGATTAGCATGTTAGGAGTGGAAAATATCGACTCAAATTGAAGTTCTTAACAAGTTCAAATCGAGTTTAACCTCTTTTTAAAGTTGGATTTGGACGAGGTTTAGTTGAGCCAAACATGCTAAAATAGTATTATAGTTTTATATATTATAAATACTCGAAATTAATTAAGCTATGAAGTTTGAAAGTGACCAAAAAAATGGAATTAAGATGGAATGGTAGTTCCTTTCATCTTCGTTCTTGATCATATACTAATGTCCAAATTCAGTCCCTTATTAGAGGATAAGAGAGGGTATAGAGGACAAGAGAGGGTTGAAAGGCAAGTTAGACGAGACAGTTTAAAGTTATGTGCAACGATTAAGTCCATAGCCCCAATTTCAATATTTGCATTTTCTTCCTAGTCAAAATCTTGAGAGGTAACTTATACAAAGAAGGAACATGCAAAAGATGTGAAATCAAGAAATGGTTGGTCGTGATTCCATGTCATCAACATATCTTCAGAATTATCAATAGATAGAGGACCAATGATCTAGCACTTGGGAGACCAATGAGTAGATACCACAAACTAGTTGAGCTCGGTTGACTAATAATTTCAATCATGATAGAGAAGAATCACTCTTCAAACATGCGACGAAGTCCAATACCAAGTTTTCCTTACTAGCTGAAGATTGGCTTAATTCACTAAGTTAGTTCACAAAGTAAGACAATTAACATCGATCTCAACAAAGTGGAGTCACATGGAGAAACTCCGTCTTTAGACGCGTTTAGATGTTCACAACATACCCTACAGAAGAAAAATCATGCTTCACAAAAGTTAAACAATGAAAGCTATTAAACAATGATCATTCAACTCACTTGCACATGTATCGAACTCATATCTGTCAAGCGCAAACTCAAACACTGTCATCGATATTAAATTTTTGACATATCTATAGTGCGAAGATAAGAATTTACTATAGTGATAATGACTTATGGGACAAGCTTTTGCTAATAATGGAGTTGTTCATGTCCCTACCCTTGGTGACAATTAATTGAAATGTCTACTTAGTTGATCCTTCTTGATCAATTTTGGTTACTATTAAGCCCTGACAAGTAAGTAAAGACAACCACTCAAAAAAATAAATAATAATAATAATAATAATAATAAAAACCAAGTTTTCTTAAATAGAAACAAAAATTAGAGGTAGAAAAGAGACATGCCAAGAAAATATATCCACATGTTTTGACTCCTGTCAATTAATTTAAGACCAAGTCTATTTGTAAATAGTAAGGAACTGTTTCCTCCTTAATGACATCCTTGTTGGAAATCAAAAACATACATAGTTGGCTACAATCAGCATTTGCCTCAAGCATCTTTCGCTTGGTTGTCCATTGTACTGTCAAATATTGTCAAGTTATTCAAGATAACATTATCTCGAGGGTGTTCAACCACAAGAAACCTTAGCCCTTATTTGATTCTCATTAATTTAAAAAAAAATAAAAATTCTCTTTTCTTTTCAACTACACAGTTTTCAATAAAATAATATTACATACAAACACAAAACTTTTCCTTATTTTTTAATTACACACTCTCCATCAATCTACTATTCTAAAATGCATTCTTAGCCAAAAATGGGGCTCAAAGAGGCGCTTAAAATCATTTCTGATAAACAGTGCGAAAAAAAGGAAATTACACGTTTAATTAATCAATAATTGGTTAAATTCCCACAAGTGTGAGACGTGATACAATTGTGTATGACTTTTCAGTCTGCAATTTTTTGACCATGTTTGGTTTCTTTTGATACAAATTTAATCGAAAAAGAAGGGGGAAATTTTTGGGTCATCTTCAAGTGTTCCTTGGCCAAGAGGGATAATTGCCAAAAGTGACATCTAATGAACCGAATTGAGTCGAACTTATTCCTTCACATCCTTCCTTTGCCATCTTCTGCATCTTCAATGTCTCGTACGCCTTTTCTTGCTGCAACACATACAGAAACATGTCAAACTTTATCTCTATAAATTGTACAAATTTGTATAAACGTACACGATTTTGAGATTATTAAGGTTGTAAGAAGGACCTGCATTGCCTCGAATGCATTTGTTTCTGAGTTGAAATCATAAAACATGCTTGCTGCTGTAAGCTTCATGGAAAGGAACTGAAAATCAAAATACAAAAGTGAATTATGTTTTTTCAGAGATAATTTTTTGATTTAGTATAACATATTTTGTGGTTTTGTACTTCCCATTACCTCAACTTGACTTTGCAAGGACTGCACATAATTGATGATTTCATCCAACATCACTGCCATGCCCATTGTCTGTTATTTCATTAAGCATTCAAATATAATTAGACCAGATTCTTCTTCTCTCCATATATACAATAGACAGAGACGTGCGCGAAAACTCACCTTGTAGCATCCAGGAACAATGTCTTGTAAACATCTCAATCGCTCGTTGATTTTTCCTCTTCTCACCTGAAACAGGCAGCTGTTATATTACTAATGATCATGAGTATTTCTATATTTTATCGAGGGCGTTAGGCGCAAGTAGAATTGCCTGAGGGGAAGGGCTGAACTTACCCTTTCTGCTAAACTGTGACTATCAGTGGCCTGGCCTCTTTTAGCTCTAACATGTACCACATCCGTTGGTTTCCCCTCTTCCTTTTCGTTGAATTTCACCTTTTTCCCTCTTCCTGCACTCTGCAGATAAAAAGAAAATCCCATGAATTCATATACTACAAAGATCAAACTGAAAAACACAAATGATGAAACTCAATCCACTTACATTTTTCCTTGTAACACCATTTGCTGAACCTTGAGCAGATGAATAAGCCCCACTACTTTGTGGGGTGTCGATTTCTTTCCTCTTCTTCCCTGCAAGATGATCATTTGCAGTTTGAGGCACAAAATTCTTGTCCTCATGGATAAACAAACCCGGAAAATCTTCTGAGATACCGGTGCATTCGGACAATAAATGGGGAAAAGTATTGTCATTGGGAAATCCCATCAAGTTCTGCAAGTTCAAGACTGATGTATCTTGATAACTTGGATTTATTTCGGGAAAATGGTTCATAAATTCCATGTTGGAATCAATGTCTGATAATGGAAAAGATTGTTTAATGTTTTGCAAGAAGTGATCAGCCATAAGCAGCTTTTTTAGGATGATCTAATGGCTTATTTTGTATATGTATGTAGTTTGAATGATTTATATATAGAGGGGGCAAAATTAGAACTTTTGAGGACTGAGGTATAAACAATTTTTCATTTTTATTAAAAGAATGAAAAAAAACAATGCAATTTTAGGTAGCCACGTGGCACTTCTATGGTTTTGTTCCCTTGTGGACCATACTCAGGAGATATATCCAAAATGTGGGTCCGTCTTGATTAGCCATTGGATTTCAATCTGATTAAATTAATCAAAGTGTGAAAGAAAAGAAAATCAAGTATGGAGGAAAAGGGATCACATACCTACTAAAACTCAAAAAGTATTTTCAAACATGTCCAAGTTCAAGTTGTGACTTCTGGTCGAAGTCTTTAATTATTTTTTCACAAATTATATTATTAGTTATAAATTTATTTGGTCCATTCTAAATATATTAATAGAGAAAAAGATATATTTGACGATGATAGTGGTGTTACTGTTTCAATGAGTGATTAACAAGACACTGTAAACTCAAGAGCATGCTTGGTACCTAAAACTAGGTATGATTAACGAAAAGAAGTACATCTAAGTTGTCTAGTCAATCCGAGTGTTTGTTCGGGAGAATTTATATCAAAGACAATATTTTAAAAGAACATACAATTAAAAAAGTGTATTGCTTCTGGGCGAGGCTCAAAGCCATGTTTTTGGGCCAAGCTCATCGGCGCCCTGTTTCTGAGCCTAACTTTGAGCCTGGCCCAGAAGCACGGCTCATTAAAAATAGGAAAAAGTAATGAGTTCAAGTGCAAAATTATATTATCTAGAGAATGTGACTAAAAATGAATTTAAAGAAAAATAATTTAAGGAAGGTTAAACCTCTTTATAGAAGCCGTTATCAAAATAGAGTAAGCCAATCCCGACTTAATATATAAGTTGTGTCAAACAAAACGCTTAACATATCGACAACTGGACATGAATGATTAGTACAGATTACCATATAATATATCGTACAAACATATTGCGTATGATTCAATACTCAAGCATTAGGTAGGATTATTATTCCAATCCACTTAATCAATTTACTCGTGATCTTTTAGTACACAAAATGAATAGAATTAATTAGTATATGAACCAAATTTTAACTTCTTCGTCCCCATACAAACACGAGAATAATGTCTTGACTGCATGGCAATGAATTATTTGCATAAAAACGAAATCAAATCTAAGGGGAAAATCTCTTTTAATACATTCAAAACAATCATCAATTCTAACTCATTAGGTTTAGAAATTCCTAAAATATATGTAAAAGAATCAAGAAATGATACCATTGCCTATTGAATAATATTATTTATTATTATGATGATGATGAAATATCGGTGACGTGATAATTTATGTGAAATAATGAGATTGGACAATTCAAATTTTATGGAACAGATGGGGCGGAAAGAGAGAAATGTGAGGGATAATGAATTGTCACATCAGCGGTATTTTATCATCGTGATGATAAATAACATTACTCTTGCATATTCTTACATCTTTAAATCTTTGCTTTCACTTCTTCCTCGAGTGCATATTCTTGGATAATTTCCTTTTTCTCTGCTTCTCCCTACAAGCCCTATGATCATTTCCTTCTCTTTTTTTCACTGCTTTTTCGATTTTTTTCACGGAATATTGAACTGAATTTTCTTGTGGCGGAATCACTGTATCCCTTCCGAAAAATACATCAAGCTGTTCATCTCCAATTGATTGACGAGTGTCTGAATTGGTTTAATTCTGAACGCAGGTATTTTTCATCCATTCCAAACTCCATCTTTCTATTTCTAAGTCGGAAATCAAATTTCAAGTGATTGTAAACCCTAGAATTCTATTCCATTCCTCCGAAATCAGATTTTGAATTTGGAGATACAATACGAGTACTGTGTATATAAGTTTCCAATCCCTAAAGCCATATTTCACGTAGATTTCCATCTACTTCCATTAGGATTCTGGGAAAAAATTATGAATGAATGGCGCTTAAATTCTCAATTGCATGTTCAAGAATTCACAACTGTAAATTTAGAAGGGGCGCGGAATGCTGATATCGCCATTTTCATCCATACTCTAAGTTCATCCCTATTAAAATTTTAAAAATATATTATTCGCATCTACGTCATATTCCAATATTATCTTTATTAAATCCATTCATTTAAGTACTATACATCCACATAAATAACTGATTGAACATTAAATTAATATATATTATTCACTTAACATGTTAAGAATATTTATTTTTGTCGTTTTTATTCATAAAACTCAATCCATCAAAGGCAAACCAGCATAAATTCACATCCAAATTAGGAGGAGGGTTGTCTCTAGAGAAAGTATACCGAGACCGAGTAACATTTGGAACTCATCGTGTTTGGACTATGATTGGTTTGCTTCAATCGTATATTTATGGTATGCTTAAATCCAAATTTGCAAGTAGAAAAACATTATACTATGTTTTAGATTAAAAAAAGGCTTAACATGCCCGAATATCTTATTTTTTAATTAGACAAAATCATTAACATTAATAGCAAGTAGGACACATCATATATTAGATATAATTTGTAAATAATACATCAATGCGAATCAAAATTAAGCCCAAGATCCATGTGAATAAACGTAATATGATCAGGTAATTAAATAATAGCGAACAAAAAATAAATAAATTAAAGACCACAAATCAGAAAGAGTACATGAAACAATCACAAATTTGAAACAACGATAATCATTTTTGTTTAAATTGAACATGTCACAACTTGTCCAACAATAATAATAGTGTTATTATTAATTTTTCTTATAGTTTATCCAAATTAATTATATTTGATATAGCTACATCTTCTTCTACTATGGACCTAAAAACTTGCGTCCTAGCATGATAAGGTGTAACCCAACCCTATGAACATGGATGATGGTACTTGTACCAACGACAAGCAATAGGTGGCATTGGTCCACTAGGATGCCAATTTACCTTCACACAATTACATAGAAAAACATAAGTAGAAATATCATTTAGTTAGTTAAAAATTTAATTAATTTAATAGATATTTATAGAGACGAAATGGTAGCCATTGACAAATCCAACTGCAACAATCCTATGAGATGCGATTGCAAGTGGTTCATCCCAAAGTGGAAGAAATGTAAGACGTTGTTGGTTCAAGTGAAGGAATAACCTTATATCTTAAAGTATTAACATGACCCATATTCGGCATGGTTATCCAATACTCACAACTCGTTGAACAATGAAAATGAGAAAGTGAATGAATCAACTCATGGACCATATCATCATTTCCATAGAGTCTAGAATAATCATCAAAATGAGATTCAAGCTCTTTTATTAGGTCTCTTCTGACCAAAGACCAATTATCTTCACCTACCCACAATATTAGCCACAGCCCGAAAACCACAATTTCCATATGAGGCTACATCCTTCATGCCAACTATTTAAGGTCTCGAACAAATTGGAAACTAATCAAAATAAGCCTTGGACTTTGATCCACGTGCTCGATACACCTTTTGTTTTTCGAATTGGAGACTGACTTGATAGTGTAGGCTGACTTAAAGGCATAAAGAAACTATCCAATTGTCGTAACATATTGTCTTGTCCAGATAGCACTAACTCAAAATACGATGGGTACCCATCGATGAGTAGATACATCTATCTTTGAAGATGGACGATCATTTGTCTTAGTTTGACTTGTGGCTCAACTAATGATGTAGAACTCGGACTAGCAATCGATTTCAATTTTTGTAGATTCTCTACCTTCACATGATCATTATCATCTCGGTAATGCTTCTCAATCATCTCAAATAATGATGCACAATTATTCTCAGATGTGTTACATTTGTCAAGAGGAACTAGACCAAGTTTCTTTCGGTGAGAGTGCACTCTTGATAAAGGAATGGGCCGAGATTCTATCTTATACTTTGAAATCTCATGGGCACATGGTAATCCATGTGTTTGTCGTATAACACGTCCACAAGCTACCTTGACAATCCCTAAATCATCAGCTCGCTTAGACTCTTGAAATATCAAATTCGTTGCAATTCTTGATGTAAATCCCCTAAGCTCTTTAAACAAGGTAGGTTTGAAATTATGTTGGACGGTACCCAATCTCTTTTCAAATGAAGCTTTAGTATCTGTATGTTGTAGCTTCAATAATGCATGAATCCTTGTCCATACAATAATAATCTCTAGTTTCAAGGACTTCATCAAAAGTCAAAACATATATATTTTTTCCCTTCTTTTAGGTTACTTAGACTTGTTAATCTAATCTACATCTTCTTACTTCAACAGGTAGCCAAAAATTTATGCATTCGAGCTTATCTAAATACAGACACGCCCTTTTGCCGATTTCTTGAATATTGTAATTCTAGCACATATTATTCATATATGAAAACAAATTCTTAATAGTAAACCAATACTATGAATTGTCCAACTATAAATGAAATTAATGCATCATTTGTCTAACTTATATTAAATAATAATATAAGTAAATTTACCTGTTAGTCATCCTGTTTCCAAGGTGCATGTGTAGATTAATCCAAGCTGCCACAAACTTATCTTTATATTGAAGAAGCCATGGATTCATAACATAATTGATTGCTTGAGGAAACTGTTGGAAATTGGATTCGAAGAGATTTAGATTTTGCTTATACTCTTCTATAGATGTTGAAAGCACTAACAAATTCCGCATCCCACTGGACACCGTGATCTTCAAAATGTTTCAATGGCCTTCATAAGAGCCAGTTCTCTATCGGTAACAATAAGACTAGACATTATTATATCATCCATTATACTCTTCAATTGAAAATGTCAAATTAGTAGAAGTGATAGGCGATATATATTTGTCTTCTACACACAATCCATAATTATCACACGAGGAAAAGCCCGCAACAAATCTACTGAATATGGATGTGCCCAGGACAAAACTCGAACTATCTCCGTAGAGGTGCGGTGCTACTCTATGTACTTATTCTCAATA